TATACGCAGTTCTACAACCTGAGAATGATATCGCTGAATATATACGCCGATACTTTTGTATTTTCATTATATGAATTTAATTACATCGGTTCATCAATGGTTGGATTCTGAACTCTGTATCACCATCAGTTGCCCCAAATAGTCGCTGGTCTTTTTCATGAATACATTTGAAGGTAACATTTTCTCTAAAATTAAATTACACGCAAAATACAACTATTATACGGTGATTATACTTCCGTCATACTAAAACGAGGCCTGCATAATTTATTCTTGCAGGAACTGAACCATCAATCTACCCCACAATCCAATTTACTTCGAAAGCAGAATTAGACTTCTTCAATGAGTGTTGTCTTTTTCTAGACTGCCTAGTTAAGAGGACAAAAAGTGGGTATTTCTCATATACCTATATTCATTCCAACAAATATTTAGACTTCGGATCAGCATATCCCATCAATGCAAACGCATCAGCTGTCTCAAGTTTTCTAAGCCATACACACTCTTCGATAACCGATGAGAAGGAAAACTAGAAAGAAGTATCAAATATTATTGAAGACCTCAAGAAAAAGAACTTCATTACCAAAATCAATACCAACATTGAACATCGTCGAAAATGTATTCCAAAGACATGGACCTCAACAGTTGTTGATATATATACATCAGAGGATATTTATTACAAGAGCACTCAATAAGCTCGACATCAAAGTTTTCTTCAGGCACATTATAAAGCAACCTTGTTCATGTAAAAGACTAAATGTCTAAGGATTCTCAATCTGATTATGTCTATAAAATAAAATGAATGGAGTATGTATGATGCGATATACACCGGATAGACCTCGTGAGAAATCAAGATGAGAAGTAATGAACGTCATAGAGCACCTATTTGACCAACACGCAGTTCAGCTGAACTAGAAATGTTCGGAAAATTATCACACACAGGCCTACAAGCTATAGAATCAGGTCACAAAATAGATTTCGACAATAGTGACATCTCATATCAGAAGCATTTCATATTAAGTGGCATCCAAATCGCCTGAATAGGAATGATGGACTAGGACACAATTTTTGACCTAGTCTCAAAACACACACACATACAGACATCCATCAACAAGTCTGTTCCATGCTTTGTTTAAGTAGTTCATACGTTGAAGTGTTGGGGAATCTACGCTGATTACTTCTAAATGTGGTTAAGTATGAAAGTGGTTACTACAAGTTAACATGATTCTGAAACCAATTTCTCTCAACATCATTGGCTATACACACCTGATGAAGTAATCAAACTAAAAATAAGACAGCTGTTTACTGGATCAGTTGACATCATCCGGTGGTTGCAGCTATTTTGAGATCAATGAAAACCTCGTAACTTCTAAAAATAATATTTCTGGCTGATGCTATTCAAATCAAAAGAACTATACGGCATATTTCAATTCACGAAGTCTGGAGTAGTTGTCGAGAACACCATCGGCCTATCAACGAGACTACAAATACTATATCAGATTTTTAACGAGTTTTTCAAGGTTGGTTGGTAGGAATTTGATCGATCACGAAATATAAGTTTTAGCTATTTGTCATTCCAATGAACACATGGCTTTCGATTTCTTCAACACACCGACCTCCTGATGGAATATACAGCATAGGCAGTCATGAAAGGACATAATTAAACAGGGTCGACCTATACACATGACAACCTACAAGATGGGCAATTTTACAAATCACGTGAGCTTATTATTTATGTGCTAAGACTATTTTGGGTAACTCAGTCTCAATATTACAGCATGGGATCCTCCATTGTCAGCTTGCTCAAGAACTCAAACTTAGGACAAAAGTGCCAATTGAGGACATAATTCTGGGAGTACAGCTTTGCTTGACTTCTACAGTATTTAAATTCCAAGGGAAAATATACAAACAAACTGAGGGAGTTGCCATGGGATCACCAATATCCCCAGTGGTAGCAGATATATTCATGGATAGGTGGGAAAAGATAGCGATTGAAACGTTCACCCCCACCCCAAAAGTATGGTGGAGGTTTGTAGATGACACATTCACTGTACTTAGAACACAAGATATAGATAGATTTTTCGAGCACATCAACTCGAAGGTAGAGGCAATTCAATTCACTTATGAATTGGAAAGTCAGGAAGGGGAACTTCCAATGTTAGATTGCAACGTTAAAAGGAAAGAAGATGGGAAGCTAAACACTAGTGTTTACAGAAAACCCACACATTCAAACAGATATTTGGATTTCCGATCATCCCATCCTATGTCAGTAAAAATAGGATTAGTGAAATGTTTAAATGACAGAGCACAAAAACTAAGTAGTACCAAGGAAAATCTAAGACAGGAAGTGACACACATAAAAGAAGCCTTGAAACTTAATAATTACCCGAATAAATTAGTCAAGAAATATGTAAGTAAATGTAAAAATAAAATAAATAATGATAACAGAGATAGTGATAATAATAATAATGATAACAATAATAATAATAACAATAATAATAATGGTAATAATAATAGTAATAATAATAATAATATTAATAACGACACCAACAATAAGGAATGTAAATCATCAACAATAATTCCATACAAAGAAGGAACCTCGGAAGCCTTACGCAGAATTCTTAACAAGGCAGGAATAAAAGTGGCATTCAAACCCACAAACTCAATTAGAAACAAGCTTTGTCGGTAAAAGGATCCTGTAGAGCCATTAAAACAAAACAATTTAGTTTATCTAATACCCTGCAATGATTGTGAGGTCAAATACATAGGTCAAACTAGTAGAACAGGGGCAGTCAGACTAGCCGAACATAAAAACCTAGCTAAATCCAGATTGGTTGACCCGAATAAGATAAGAAATCTAGAGAGTAGTTCAGCTATAGCACTACATGCAGTTACACACAACCATACAATAGGATGGGATAGGATGACAGTTTTAAAATCTAATGTCACAGGGTATAGGGAGAGATTGATAACAGAAGCTTTGTTTATCGAATCAACTGCAAATACATGTAATAGGAATGATTCAACACCTGTCCCAGATATATGGAAAATTCTACTGCCCATACAACAAATAGGAGAAGACAGAGAAAACTATAAAAATCAAATCTCGAAGTCGTGTGACAAAAATTGATATGATTATGAACAATAAATTGTGTTCGAAACGTCATCCAGTATACAATACTGTTTCACTGTGTGATACATTTAATAATCAAACTAATATGGAATTACTTAATACCACAGTGCCCAAGTTTTACACATATATTGCTCAATAGAATTTATCAGGTCCTTCGTGCTAAGCAAAGTACTGAACTTAAATTTGACTTTGGAGAAGTTAGTGGGAGAGCTCAGAATAGGCATTTCGCTTAGCTAAGGACTTAGTACCTCAGCAGATGTAGTTTACGAAGCTCTAACGCTTCATTTGAATTCAAATCTTTCATCATGGAAACGGCTGTAAATGTACACGGGCATAAAATGGACTCACACAAAAAACCTAGAGGATCTGAACCTCGCCGATGATATATGTCTGATTTCCCACAAATTGGAAGATACGCAAGTGAAAAGCAACAAGTTCGCAGAAGAAGCATCAAAGATAGGACTTCAAGTGAACATAGATAAAACAGAGGTGATGAATATTTCTGGCCAACAGCAACAACAGACAACAGTCAGCATAAATGGTAGGGACCTGAAAGAAACAACCTCCTTTACCTACCCACCTGGGAAGCATCGTTTCCACTACAGGGGGAACTTACGAGGATATCAAAGCCGGAATCAGAAAGCGAGACAAGCTTTCATTACTCTTAAGTCTGTATGGAGGTCAACAGCACTACTCAGCATGAAAAATAAATTCCGGATTTTCAACTCCAATATGAAGTCAGTGCTATTTACTACACGGATCAGAGACTTGGAGCGTCATGAAGAGCACCTCAAACAAACTACAAACCTTCGCTCAATACTCAAGATCAGATGGCCAGCCAGAGAAGATCAGCGACAGTGATCTCTGGGAGCGAACCAACCAACCCAGCAGGAATCGACTGTGCAACAAATAGGCAGGAAGAAATGGAGGTGGATTGACCATACTCCGAGAAAACAAACCATCAAGTGACATCACCAGACGAGCCATTACTTGAGTGGAACCCGAAAGGGAGGCGGCGAGTTGGTCGTCAGTGAGAGGGTGACATGGAGGAAGGCATGTGAAGAGGAGATGAAAGCGTGTGGGCAGACTTGGAGCGGGGTGAAAAAGTTGGCAGAAAACGGAACGCAATGGAGACGTTTGGCTGAAACCCTATGTTCCACTAGGAATTAAAGGATATAATAATAATATCAAAGACGACAGACACACGAAGACTCCATTTTCGGAATAATTTCCAATTCGTGTGCTGCTAAATTATTATTTGTTCAGATGTTCTGAAGACAAACAAAGCAATTTTCCCTAATCGATATTTTCGCCTCACTAGGTGTTCCCTTTCATTAAGAGCTTTGATAAAGGATGATATATATGACGTCCGACATGCATGCCATACAGACATTTATTGCTACGATGAGGTTGTATTATTCTCGTATTTTGTGAAAAACGCCTTGTGTCAAGGGTTTTAACCACTTACAAGGACTACTACTACGGTGTGCAAAATAGGCGTGACTATTAAGTCAAGCTGTCTATAGTTTGACTGGAGTCACTAATTATCTCGACAATGAAAAACGAAATGTATTTTAGCATTATTATTGTTATTAGTATTATCTCGGATAAAGTGATGATCATTATCAAAAACCAGATATGAATAAAAGTAATCAGAAAAAAATCTTACAATTACAAAATAAGAAGTTATGTACACAGCTTTATATAACCTGAGACTAGATGCGAAGGATAAATGCAATAGTTACAGCAAAACACAGTTTTAGCTTTTGTAGGTAAACGGAGAGAAGAAGAAATCTGTTGTTCAAATCTGTCAGTGTTATATAAATCACTCCTCAGGATAATACAAATGAATTATCTTTGGTGTTAACACATGTCATAGACAAGATTTATCTGTGGCGGCGTTGAGGTAATCACTTTCAGATAAAAGAGGTATAAACTCTGGAGCAGGAAACACATTACGCAATGAACCAGCTGGAGCAGTAGTCAGCGTTGAATGGTTATCAACCTTGGGTTTCGAGCATACACTAGCTTCATCATTAGCATTGTTGCTTTTTGTAGTAATTTTTACGTTGAATACTTTCTGACGACCAGATTTATTTGTCACTGATTTGCGTAACCATACATGACGTTTATTACACTGAAAAAAAGGGAAAAAGGTGATACAAAGCAGTGTACAGAAAATGCTTACAGGTTTGTTGGTTACCTTAAAAAAAATTGTTCGGCGAGTCAGTGGTGTAGGTCACATAAGACTAGCTTCATCGAGAAAAAAAATTGTGCTAAATGTTGTCCGATAGCGGAGAATACAAACAATAATATATAAAATGATGAGGCAGATACTAGTATCTGAAAAATTTTGAATTTCGGAAAACCAGTAGGACGTAATTTATCTTAAATGTGTAGTGTAGACGCACAACATACACTTTGAACGTTCTAATCACACACACACACTTGTCACGTGTATCCATATCTGTCTGTTTTCGACATAGAACTTTGCACAAATGTGCGGAAGTTCAAGTCGCCACATTCCGTGTAGCACGCGAAGCAAGAGAAGAAAGTACAAGAAAAGCATAATAGAAACAGTGAGCAGAGGTGTGAGACAAAGGAGTAATAAAGAAATACAAAACAGTTTCATTGAAGATCATAAGTCACAGGGATTGGATGGATCTGCGCCACTGAGAACGATTTTGAGCCATGTCACCAATTGTTTCCAACCATAGATTTTTACCGTCCCGAGGACCCCAGCCTGGAAGTCTACACCTTTCTACGTGGCTTAGACCAACTGTTGTGGATTTCATTGACTGATGCCAAGTTTTTGTTTGACCGCCGCTAGCTTTTTTCCAGTCTGACCCTATATCCGCTAACATAGCTCGTCGAGGGAGGCGATGGCTTGGCATACGTAACACATGTCCTAACCATCTTTGTCTTTGTAGCTTCACGACTTCGTCGATTGATTTCCCCTGTTTACCTAGAGCTCTACGCCTAACCTCCATGTTGCTCACCTTATTATGCCACTTTACACGGGAAATAGAACGCAGGCACCTATGATCACAGACAGCTAGTCTTTTCATGTCTTCCACTCTCAGTGGCCAGGTCTCACAACCATACAGGAGGACGGAGCGGACTGATGAGCAGTACACCCGCCCTTTGGTCGATAGTCGAACATCTCGTCTACGCCAGAGTCGGCGTAAACTAACAAATGCGAAACGAGCCCCTTGTATTCGTGCTGAGATTTCGTCAGAGATCAACCCGTTGGGGCTGATGGTACTTCCCAAATAAGTGAAGCGGTCAACGTGCTCTACCACTTCACTTCCTATTTTTAAACTAGGCGTCGATGTAGTCCAGTCCTGTAACATCATCTTGCATTTGGCGGGAGCGAATCGCATGCCAAACATTCGTAGATTGCGGCTCAAGGTGTTTAGAAGACTCTCCATTTCGTCATTTTTTTTTTTTTTTTTTTTTTTTTTTTTTGCATATTCCAAGTCAACGAGATTATTCCCGGTAGCAAGTCAATTCCTGAGTCGCTGAAGTCACCTAGGGTTAAGTCCATTAACACATCTATGATGAAGTTGAATAGAAAAGGGGATAATGGGCATCCTTGACGGACACCACTGGTCGTCATCAGTTCAGATGACAGCTCGCCGTAAGCCCTCACCTGGCTGTATGAGTACGAGTAGAGTGCCTTAATCAGTGCAATATATTTTCTTGGAATTCCCTTTACAGCCAAGCATCTCCAGAGAACTTCCCGATCGACAGAGTCGAATGCTGCCTTTAGGTCAAGAAATATAATGACTGTTGGACGCCGGTAGGAATGCCTATGTTCTAGAATCTGTCGGAGGGTGAAGATATGATCAATACACCCTCTTCCTGGTCTAAAGCCTGCCTGGCTCTCTCGTGTTTGTGCTTCCCGAGCACCACTCAGTCTACGCATGATTATTGAGCCTAAGACTTTAGATACTATATTAGTCAAGCTAATCCCTCTGTGATTATCACAGGAAGACTTGTCTCCCTTCTTGTATATGGGGATAATCAGTGACTTACACCAACCCGATGGGACTTCTTCTGATTCCCAGACGCTGCCTAGTACCTCAGTTAATCCGGACAGTAAGCTGTCTCCACCGTACTTAAATACCTCTGGCGTCATTCCATCAGGTCCCGCTGCTTTGCCTAGTTTCAGATTGGTGACAGCTTTAGTAACCTCAGTTAGTGACGGAGGACCTGTGTCTATATCCCATTCAGGGAGGTGTTGGATGCTCGGAAGGTTGAGCGTGGCTGTGGGCAAATTAAACTGCTCCTCATAATGCTCTTTCCAACGATCCAGTCGTCTATCCTGTGAGCTAATTATAGTGCCATTTTTTTCCGAGATTGTCTCACTAATGATTTGTCTTCTCCCACCCGTTTCCCTGATGAGTCCAAAGAGTTGCCTGGTGTTGCCTATCCTCAAAGCTTTCTCCATCTCTTTGGCTTTTGTCGCCCACCACTGTTCACGGTCCTTGCGGAGACTTTTCGTAAGTTTCCTCTTGTGCAGCTTTCGCTCCTCATTGAATTCGGAGCTCGCCGGAATAAGTCTTCTAGCATCTATCAGTTCGGATGAGGCGGTGGAGATCCAGTGGTTTTTACTCACCTTTGGGTTTACCTTATTCACAGCTTTTACAGCTGTATCTATGGCTGCCTGGATATTTTTCCAAGCTTCTTCAGGGTGAGCACAGCTGTCGAACACAGATATGTGTTTAGCTAGTTCTTCCTGAAATACGGATTTAGTTTCCTGATCGAGCTGGGGACGTGATGGTTTTACCGCCAGCTGTTTCCTACGTCCGTTCAGTCGTAAGCACACCCGAGCGCGGACCAGTGCATGGTCGGTATCTACGCACGTGTTCCAGAAGGAGCGACAATCTCCTACCGACCCACGCCAACGATAGCTTATTGCTATGTGGTCTATTTGTGTCCAGCGTTGGTTTGATGAAGGGGGTCTCCAAGTCAAACAGTGTCTCTCCTTGTGTTTGAAGTTAGTGCTTACAAGAAACAAATGATTATCAGAGCAGAACTGTAGGAGACGGTCACCGTTGTCGGTTCGCTGGCACGGAGCTCCATAGGTGCCACCGACATCCTTCTCAGATTGACACAATTTCCCTACTTGAGCGTTAAAGTCACCAGCTAGAACGACTATGTCTGAGCGTTTAGCCTTTCCACCAAACTAGACAGCTTTTGGTAGAACTCATCCTTCGTTTCATCTGAACTGCAGTCAGTGGGGGCGTAGGCGGAGATTACGAAAAGGCATCGGCGAGTAGTGCAGTCCTTCCTCCTTCTTACTGATCCGTTCAGGCGGACAGCACACATTCGGCTATCTACCGGGATCCAGTCAAGCAATGTCTTTTCTGCCCTAGTACTCAAAGCTATCCCTACGCCAGCTAATCCTCGTGAACTAGCTGTGGCATCTCCTGACACCCTCAAGGTGAATTTTGCAGATTCAACCTGTTGGCCAGGTGGGGTTAGGTGAATAACCACACTTGGGTCTTGTATGCGTGTTTCTGAAACACAGCATACATCAATGGCTCGTGATGCCAGGGTCTTGGCTAGTGATGCTTGTTGTCCTATTTGGCAAAGTGTCCTAACATTAAGAGCTCCTATATGAAATTGGTGGCGCGGCTTTAAGAGGCTGTCGGTGGTGGTTTTTTGGCTTCCATCGTTTTTAGTGGACGCAGAGTGGAGAGGAAGTGGAGAGCTATCAAGTCGAGGAGTTGCATCAGTGGAAGGAAGGCAAGATGATAGAGATGAAGATGAAGACAAAGATGAGTGAGTAATAGAGAGGTTTCGTGTGCATTTCGGATTGTGAGGGCGATTGTTACTTCCCGGCTGCCCACACCGTGGAAGTTGGTTGCGTGACCGCAGAGCCCAGGGGACAACTGCTTGAGGCCGGTCACACGCGGCCTGTTTTTGTTCGTTCTTTTTTGTTTGGTGTGTCTCAGTAGCAGATTTATCACTCCCGCCCTGTGACACGGCAGCAGGAAGCGCGGTCGTTGTTAATCCGGGCCACGGCCGATCCGGCATGAAATTTTGTAATTTTGTATTGGACATGATGTTGGATTGGGTAGCTGCTTTTTGTTTAACCGCTATCCAAACAACCTGCCTGGCATGGTAGAACCTCAAGAGACATAAGTCTCAGCCAGTATAGCTTGATTAGGTCATTGCGGTGTTCAAGCCCGACCACCACGTCAAGGTAGCAGCTTTCGGCACATATGTGCGGCAGTTCGAGTCGCCACACTCCATGTAGCACACAGAGCAAGAGTAGAAAGTAGAAGAAATGCAAAACAGAGACAGTAGACAGAGGTGTGAGACAAAGGAGTAGTAATAACGAAGAACAATATAGGTTCATTGGAACTTATAAGTCACAGGGATTGGATGCATCTGCGCCAGCCAGCCATTGAGAACGATTTTGAGCTATATCACCAATTGTTTCCAACCATTGGTTTTTACTGTCCCGAGGACCCCAACCAGTCAGGATGTCTACACCTTCCTACGTGGCTGGCCTGAACTAACTGTTGTGGATTTCATTGGCTGGTTCCATGTTTTGGCGTGACCACCGCTAGCTGTTTTCCAGCCTGACCCTATATCAGCTGACATTGCTCATTGTCGAGGAAGGCGATGACTAAACATACGTAACACATGTCCTAAACATCTCAGTCGATGTATTTTCACAGCCTCGTCGACTGATTTCGCCTCCTTACTTAGGACTCCACCGAAGCCTAACCTCAATATCGCTCACCTTACTATACCACTTCACACGAGAGATAGAACGCAGGCACCTGTGGTCAAAGACAGCTAATCCTTTCATGTCTCCCTCTCTCAGTGGCCAGGTCTCACAGCCATAAAGGAGGACGGAGCGGACTGATGAGCAGTACACCCGCCCTTTGGTCGATAGCCAGCCAGATATCAGGTCTACGCCAGAGACGGCGTAAACTGGCAAATGCGAAACGAGCCCCTTGTATTCGTGCTGAGATTTCGTCAGAGATCAACCTGTTGGCGTTAGCTGATGGTACTTCCTAAATAAGTGAAGCGGTCAACGTGCTCTACCACTTCACTCCCTATTTCTAATTTTATTTTTTATTTATTTATTTTTTATTTACAGCTTGATTCCACACTGTATTTTCGGTACAATTTTGGAATTTTCAGCATGGATATCGGTAGCCCAAAATTTCGCAGGCCGACCATAGATATCAGGTGTGCGTCGGTGTGGGCTCGAAGCCCGGACCATGTGCATGATCGGCGAGAGTCCTAACCACTGTGCCACCGACGCACAGGATTCGGAGTAGTCCAGTCCTTTAACATCATCTTGCATTTGGCGGGAGCAGCTCAAGTTGTTTAGAAGACTGCAATTTGTCAGCGTCCTCGCCTAGTAGGACTATATCGTCCGCATATTTTAAGTCAATGAGATTATTCCCTATACATGTCCCATATACAGGTTAACAGAGTATAAGACCAAAAATGAATCAATACAGATCAAAATGTTTGTTCAGGAGTCAAAGCCACAGATGAGAAGTAAGAAAAGAAGGAAGTGGTATAATGTAAAATAACCCTTGGTCTTAAAATTGGGTATCAAAGGTATGTTTAATGTAATAACAAATAGTTTATAAATAAAAGCAGGTTGAAGACTACTTACAACTAAGGCCCCACTTACATTTAGGGTAATAAAAAGCTCATATACTGATAGATGTCTCTTTCAAACCAACCTCACTACAACTAATACTGCGCTGCAGCTCACATTAGTTTTGGAAAGTGTCAGAGACCAGTTACATGATCATGTATAGGCGTACACATTAGGGTATGTCAGTATTTTGCAACAAATGGACATATGTTCTTGAAAATATATGCGTATCAGAAAACATGTGCATGGAATTCCACTTCTTTTGTTGGAAAAACGGTGAATTTCACAAAACTATCAGGGAGATCTTGCCAGAAAATCAAGAATTAAACCACACAGTCTAGATTAGATTTCTTGACCTAAAGGCAGCATTCGACTCTGTCGATCGGGAAGTTCTCTGGAGATGCTTGGCTGTAAAGGGAATTCCAAGAAAATATATTGCACTGATTAAGGCACTCTACTCGTACTCATACAGCCAGGTGAGGGCTTACGGCGAGCTGTCATCTGAACTGATGACGACCAGTGGTGTCCGTCAAGGATGCCCATTATCCCCTTTTCTATTCAACTTCATCATAGATGTGTTAATGGACTTAACCCTAGGTGACTTCAGCGACTCAGGAATTGACTTGCTACCGGGGAATAATCTCGTTGACTTGGAATATGCTGACGAAATGGAGAGTCTTCTAAACACCTTGAGCCGCAATCTACGAATGTTTGGCATGCGATTCGCTCCCGCCAAATGCAAGATGATGTTACAGGACTTTTTGATGTGGTTTTGTTCTCTGAGCTGGATGGTTAGTTTGCGAAGCTTTCATCACCTTACTGGGTGACATCTTCAGCGCATACTTCAATTTGAAGTGAGCTTTTAGATTTCTCCACGAGTTTATTAATCATCTCTCTCAAAATCATCCACCTGAGCTACAAATCTTCTCTATCATATCTAAATGTTACAGGACTGGACTACATCGACGCCTAGTTTAAAAATAGGAAGTGAAGTGGTAGAGCACGTTGACCGCTTCACTTATTTGGGAAGTACCATCAGCCAACGCCAACGGGTTGATCTCTGACGAAATCTCAGCACGAATACAAGGGGCTCGTTTCGCATTTGTTAGTTTACGCCGACTCTGGCGTAGACGAGATGTTCGACTATCGACCAAAGGGCGGGTGTACTGCTCATCAGTCCGCTCCGTCCTCCTGTATGGTTGTGAGACCTGGCCACTGAGAGTGGAAGACATGAAAAGACTAGCTGTCTGTGATCATAGGTGCCTGCGTTCTATTTCCCGTGTAAAGTGGCATAATAAGGTGAGCAACATGGAGGTTAGGCGTAGAGCTCTAGGTAAACAGGGGAAATCAATCGACGAAGTCGTGAAGCTACAAAGACAGATGGTTAGGACATGTGTTACGTATGCCAAGCCATCGCCTCCCTCGACGAGCTATGTTAGCGGATATAGGGTCAGACTGGAAAAAAGCTAGCGGCGGTCAAACAAAAACTTGGCATCAGTCAATGAAATCCACAACAGTTGGTCTAAGCCACGTAGAAAGGTGTAGACTTCCAGGCTGGGGTCCTCGGGACGGTAAAAATCTATGGTTGGAAACAATTGGTGACATGGCTCAAAATCGTTCTCAGTGGCGCAGATCCATCCAATCCCTGTGACTTATGATCTTCAATGAAACTGTTTTGTATTTCTTTATTACTCCTTTGTCTCACACCTCTGCTCACTGTTTCTATTATGCTTTTCTTGTACTTTCTTCTCTTGCTTCGCGTGCTACACGGAATGTGGCGACTTGAACTTCCGCACATTTGTGCAAAGTTCTATGTCGAAAACAGACAGACAGACAGATTAGAATCTGTCAATTTCATTTTATAAATCCTAAGAATTACAAGAGTATTAAAGTCGGAGCTTGTTTGCTTAGACTTTCAACTTCCAGCATGTTCGTTGCTGACTGTAAGCTCCCTCCACTTGCAAGACTGCACAGCTACGTTGACTGGCATGTAACAAACACTACCTATTTTGACGTGAGCTTAGTTGTGGCATAAACAACAAAATGGTTAAATATATCATCAACTTTGAATGACAGCAGTTTGCGTCGAAGAGAGGAGATGGGGTTACTTCAAGGTTGCTAATTACTGTCAGAAAACAGGAAATCTACATCTCGGTCAGTGTGACAATTTGCACCTCAAATCGAATATTTAATTATAATTTAAACTGTCATGTCACCGATATAGTTAAACTAACCAGTATTCAAAGAAAGGGAAATAAAAAAGATAGAGGCTGAAACTGGAGAAATGTTACATTATCAGGAAAGTGTAGACTTCCTGATTGGGGTCGTCGGGACGGTAAAAACAAATGTCTGGTAACAATTGGTGATATGGATCAAAGTGATCATTCTCAATGGCTGGTGCAGATGCATCACTCCTTGTGACTTATGATTTCCAATGAAACTGTTTTGTTCTCCATTATTACTATTCCTTTGTGTCACACCTCTGTCTACGGTCTCTACTTTGCATTTCTTCTTTCTTCTCTTGCTTTGTGTGCTACATGGAGTGTGGCGACGCGGACTGCTGCGCATGGGTGCAAAGTTCTATGTCGAAAACAGACAGACAGATTTTCAGGAGGACGTAAGCTGTGACTACTTTACTGTACCTAACATTCTCACAAGATAAGACATTATTACGGTCAGCAGCAGTCAATACTACACCACTCCATCTCATTGAAAAGCTGTTATTTGTATCGAATTTGTCTTCCCACGATTAATAGCTGATGAAAAATGAAGTAGTTTTCCAATGACCGAAGGTGAAATTACGGAAAGAGAACAAAAGCGTATATATATATGGCAAACGGATTGAGCGAAGAATAATTTACTTTTTAATTAGATCCTCATCTTTGGCTCTAATTGAAAAGTATTTCTTCGCTCAATTATTTTTTCTTCTCATTGGGGATTTTTATTTTGTGAAAGGCATATATGTTATAACTGCCCAACAAGGATAAAAATGAACTTACCAAGCGACCACGCGAACAACGTCCCATGGTGAAATCCGAACAAACGGCTGTATCGGGAGGATAATTGACATGTAGGTAGGGACACTGATCACGATCACAGTTTCCACTTTCATAAAAACTACACTGTGGTAGTCTACATGGATCTAAAACATGAGCAAGTGGACAGGCATCCTTTCCCAAAGGACAAATTCGTAGTAAAAACCTGTGAAAAACATAATCGAAAAAAACGTGTAAAAAGTGACATATTGAAGATGACAGTTAATGCTCTTACGAAAGTACGGATGTTTTTTAAGTCATTCTTAAGTACTTTATCACTAATAAATTAGTTGATATTGAGGTATCTTACAAACATTATGTTAACCGAAAAACATTACTCATCCGAAAATATGTAAGTTATACTTAGAGTCTAATTATAACATGGGCTAGAATGCCAACATTTTACTAAAGCAACACGGACATAGCCAGAATGTAAATCAGAGGCATCACCATTAAATACCTTAACATTATTTAGTAAGCTATTGAATCAACTTGAAACTAATTGAGAAATAAAGAGTACTTGGCTATGAAAGAGGGATAACGTCAGGTAAGTATTAAAGTTACTACAATGAGAATTGCAATGTTGTCAACAATACTGTTTCCATTACAACAATAAATAAGTATTTTTGTAGGTATTACATCCTTAAAGATTGCAAAGCTTTTTTTTCCCTCACGATCCCAGTGGAGCATAGGGATTCAAGCTAGTGTCTTGAAGTTTCTGTAGCAGTGTTTATTTTTACAGGCCCAACCTTTCCTCTTTACCAGCATTATTTCTGGCTCAGCGGGGTAAAGGAGTGCGTCGGCCGGGAGTCCCCGGACTGTGTGCATGGTCGGCGAGCGTCCTAACCGCTATGCCACCAACAAAGATTATGATAGGCAAAGATGATTATGATATGGCAAAGCTTATAGTAGGTAGTTATAACTCATTTAACTAGAACATTTTCCACACATTAAACGATGAATTACACATATTATGTGAGGGCATGTCTTGTTATCTAGTTGTCAGGTTGCAGTAGGTGGATCACGATCCACGTCCGGAATGGACTGGGTCAAGCTAGTGAACATTTACACTTGCGGTTTTAATACCACTAATTACCGCCATTAACTTCCGCATCAAGTGTGATGTGCTCATTACTGTACGACATGGAAACAAATTTGTTAAACACGTTTAGCTGAAGTCTGAATTCACTTTCTTAGATCTGTTTAAAATCACATATAAATAGGTTCAACAAGAATCTTAGATACCTACTTACTTAGGGCATATACGCAGGTAGTTCTCATCATGAGTGAAGGCACACGTTACTGAAGGGCATTTCCCAGTCCTGCAGTATATTTGGCATACTGGTCGACGTCGAAACTTCAAACTTCGCACTGCTTTCCGCACAATTTTCCTTCGAAAGAGCATGATGAATTTGTCAAACATACTTATAGTGAAATCTTGATGAGTAGCTGGAAGATTGCTGGTCCATTTTCTTTACTAAAAACTTACTATTTACACTATTACCCCTAAAGTCTCAAGCTTTGGATTGAGTAAACTACTTCCGGGTTTAATATATCTAAACCTGTCTACATTTCTAGCATGCATCTTCGCACTTAATGATCCAGCCATGTGTAATGATGTAGATTTAGCTCTGGTATTAGGAGACTCACTATTAGGCTTGTTAACTGACTCCTTAACTTCTGATTGAATGGCACTACTATCCTTTCTAACGTACTTATAAAGGTTGTTTCTCTTACTTGCTGCAGTCATTGAGTTGTTGGATATACATAAGTGAATTCTATCACAAGAACCATCCCTATGAACCTTACTAAATATATGTGGATAATTCTTTCTTGTAGGAACCAAACTGTTTGATCCCGAATTAGAAAATTCCGACCTAGGTCGGACAGACAAGCTTGTCTGTTTGTTCCACTTAAGAGAACTCCCTGACACACGCGAAGATGATGATGTGCTTTCCTTCACGTATTTGTACCTATTCTGACAAGAAACGACATTATGGCGCTCCGACTGACCGGCAATCCACTTTAGCGATCTAGTATTGAAATTCATCTCAGGTTACAAGTCCCCTCGAAAATCCCGCTACAGCATATCCCACATTAGCCAAAATAAGGCAAGCATTGTTATGAGTGCGTTAAAACACTTAAATTAAGTTTAAGGTGAAAACAAATCATAGCAGCCATTAAATGGTCCTGATGAAATAGTATGAATAGTTTTATGTAAAATCTGTATATTTTGAAAAGATATATACTGACTAATTAGACTATCTGGTGCTTCAATCTGATCCGTTGTCTTGGACCTAGGACCTAACTATAAACTAGCCCTCAACTTTAACTTCTTTCCCCAATCTAAAAATTAACCATAAACTTCATCCCACATTTGACTCCTAACCCTAAGCTGACTGTTAAGCTTAACGCAAGACTTTGAAAGTATGTAAATCAAATCTCTAGGGAGCTCGCTGAAGCAAAGCTTGCATTGCATTCGCAACCAGTAAAACAATTCCCCGCTCCAGGGCATACGTTGTCTACTAAAAATTTACCCTCGCCAGGTTACTATTTCCACACATTGACACATCAAGACTGAAATTACTCCAGGGAACATCTAGGCCACAGTATGCCCATCCAAGAAAATGGCCGGCTAAGTGGCCGTGAGTAGACAGCTGTGTAGGTTTCATTTTAAATAGGTGTTCTTCAGATAAAATAATCGCAAAGGAAACAAACGTATTAATGCAAAATTATCACTCGGCGTAGCATTCTCTGAAAATGTCCCCCCTTCGTCATTCGGGGTCTTGGGTTTAGTCGGGACTGGTCATTGCATGGGGAGTCATCAAGTTGACTGTATGCCACGTCATTTCTAGTTATACCAACGCCTCCGGAATACCTGTGTGAAATTAATGTGCTTTCCATCCAAACGATCGTCAAAATGAGAAAAATTATTTGCAATTTTGAGTATTGTCAGATAACCACTATTCCTTTGGTCCAGGTGGACAGATATTCAGCGTATGACAAGATGTCAAATGACTGCTATCAATACATTTGCACTGGGGTCAGACATAAATTTTTCCGCAGTGTCGTATAATCTCTATACCCGTGTTGTACTTGCCAGGTAGCTACACTTATAATTAGAACAGGAAATCTGTATTTTCAATCGATGAAATAAAAAAGAATGTATTCGTACGGTAAAAAATTACATAAATTATAAACATCATACTCTTCAATGCCTGCTCTCTTCAAATCATTATATCACAACACGATCAAAACATCTTGGCTGTAGGGTCAAGTGTTTCAATCACACGATTTGAAATTTCACTAAATCCTTACCAAGGAAAGTTATCATCAGCAACTTTAAAGTCCGTGCAATACAAAATGTAATAGTAGTGTCCTCAGTATCTGTCGTATATGGTGGTGTCGTGGTTTTTTCGTAAACTAAATATCTCATAATTCACCGTACTTATTGCTGAGCGCACGGTTTGGAAATGCATCTGGTATGATTTTCCTAAGAGTAAAAGAGCTTGGATTTGATGACGGCTGCTTCTGAAACCATTCTGTTATAAGACTACCAGTAAATTTTCAACGGCGAAATTCTATATTTTGGGGAGAAGGGGTGAGAAAAAATACTCATGTAATTTCTGTAACACCACTACTAGTGAACGTTTCTGTCTATGCACTTTTACATGAAATTTAGTGGCAGGCCTTTCATATTCATTGATACTACTAACATGTGCTCCATTGCTTTTGGACTTACTGTAAGATTAATTTTCGACGTAAAAAGGTTGCAATGATAAAAATGTGACATTAGGAGTTGCGTCTCATATACACATACAGATGTTTTACTTTATGTGCCATATTTCACTTTTGTACCGATTTGACCGCTTGTTGTTTGTCCTGGAATGTCATATATACTTTTTGTTTTGTTTGCTAGCAGTTTTGTGCTCAGCAGCTGTGGTCTTAATATTTGGGTACCGGATAATCTTGAAATCAAAGACCTGCTTTACGATTACTTGACGCATTTTATTGAACAGAACCATAAGTCTTGCAGTATCTTTAACAATTTTTGTCTTAATATAAATAAGAATCGGTACTGTTTTGGATTTCTGGGTTGAACAGTGGAAGCATTCATCTTCAACAGGAGTTTTCGCACATTGGATATGAGAGTAAGTACACCCAACTGTGCAACGTTTGATAGAAAATGCGCAATAACAGGTGATATTTCATTAGGATTTATAATAGGACGTCGTGCTCTACAGCTTCGGTCATCGTGAGTCTGAAAGAAGTAGGATGCTTCCGATCATTTGCTTTTGATCAGTTCAGGATAACTGCCAACCAGTAAACCTGTGATTAAACCATCATTCCATTTTCATGCTGAGTTTGAGATTTGACGGTGGAATATATATTCCCGCTGCCCTGGTCTATGAAGAAATGCACACTTGTGTGATTTAACAACTTTTCAGCATTCTACAGCCCTAAACTAAAGTTCATGTTTGAAGTAAATTATTCTGCATCAGAACTCGAAAACTCAGTAACATTCCTTGAATGGACCTATTACCAAGTGATTCGCACAGATTTGTATGGTCACTGTGATCACCAATAGAGGGAGAATACAGAAGAGGAAAGAGGATACGTATTCACTAGTAAGTCAACCGGTAAACAAAAACAGTACACGATAATAATAACAAGATTCCAGCAAGTTGGAACCACTTCACAGACTGAATACCGGTCCTGTGTCAGCGAGCATACGTTTTATTAAGGCGAAGTCTACTGATAAACTAAATCTGGACTGACGCCTCAAAAGAAGTACTGTAGGCTCGAGGCAGAATGATGTGCTTAACTCTGCCTGTTTGAACAGTTGCGCTACAGGTGTTCAGTTTCTGCGTGAATCATCTTTCCTTAATATTTTGGAAATTAGCCGCTTTCCTCACATTATCCAGTTATCCATAGTCAACAAGGATTGTATTGTATCAACTGGAACAACATATAGCATTCACTCGTGAAATCTACAACAGGAATCTTCGGAAACCCTCTCTAACCACGTGGAACTCAGGACTTTATCCACAACAAGCACTGTAAATGAAAGTCTGACTTTTTATTTTGCAATATATATCTGTTTATCGTTGTTGTTTTGATACTTCGATAATACAGCTATCTTATTTTTATATCTCAAGACTTTTTTTCGGAAATTGTGAAATTTCTTGTTTCTGTAATGGTTAAGTCTCTCAAACGTGTAAGTCGCGTTAAGAGACTGAGATCTAATACTAGTCAACCATCTGAAGGCCTCAGCTCCGTTGACGATTCTACACTTTTAACACTAGCCACATCCAGAGTTATGGTATCCGATATCATGGAGGAACTGACAGAGAATGCGGCTTGTAGCAAAAATGATTATCTGACACTTCAGAAGTCAATAGCAGAACTACAGAGCAAGTATGACAGCATTATGCCTCTCACGCGACTGTGTGACCCATCACAAAACATCTGTCTTGAATCACTAATCAAATCCGAGCGCATAATTGCCTGTTTGGCTGAAGAAGCTGTTAAGAGGATTATGTCTTGACATAACGTCTTGGCCTATAACATTCCAGACAGAGAGCCGATTGCCAAACTTAAGACTTCGTATCTAAGGGCTTGTAATATGTCGTTGACAGAATGCCAGGTTTTGCGTCTTCGTAAGAATTCTGCAAACCACCCATGTCCGGTGCTCTTCAATAGGCTCTTCAACACCGTACACTAACATTAGGCTTGCACCTGATTTAACACCATGCAAAAGATGATGCCGCTCAGGAACACTGAATGCTGATAACTCTAATAGGACAACTGTAGATGATGTTCCATGCGTTATTCCGTCTAGTGAAACACCTGATCACGGCATGCAACAGACATTTTCTCAGGTACTGGCTAATGTTAGCCAAGCATTATTTAACGATACTGATGCTGACACTGAAATGGTGGACATAGATGAGTCAACGAGAAATAATGTTGAAATACATCGTTTTCACACTGGCGCTAAAGTCAAGACCCGGAAACCATCAAAACCTATCCCACTGGTGTTCCAACCACCCCCTAACAAGTCAGTTACTCCTCACTCTGACAATCCATACACTGTGAAGCGCCAGTCGAATGTAGCTACCCAAGTTGGCAAGTTTTCTAGACGTTATGACAAACGTCCCATTTCCATTAGGAAGACTAAAACTCATGAGGTGTCCAAGCCACAGAAATCCTACATAGCATGTGCTAGCTGACCTGTTAGCCATCATCAACCAGTTGATCATAAGAAAAAGGAAAAAGAAGTAAATAAATTAAATACTGGACCCGGAGCAAGAAAGCCCTTCCAAATGATAGAGACGAAAGCACCTCTAAGCCATCTTTCTAAGAGAAAGTCAAATATGGTAGACCAAGCTCCTAGGGGTAGGCCTAATTTGTGTCAAGTGGAAAGCCAATTTTATCCAGCCACTAATTCCAGACAAACAGCACAGCA